ATAAACAAACAAACCAAAGCCAACCAACAGCCTCTGATCTCTGGGGGGCCCTCAGTTTTCTGGTAGTTCTTTCAGTGTTTTCTCTCCATTTGGCACCAGGACTGAAAAAAGGGATTTGAAAGGAGAGAAGTAATAAATGACAGAACTGGTCTTACTCTGAGATGAATGGCAGGTCAACTCATTATTTTCCCCATAGGAATATCCTGAAATATTACTAAAGAAAAAAACCAGTTGCAAAATAAAAAAATAATATATCCCTGTATAAAAAAAAAAAAAAAAAAAAAACTCCAGGTGACTGGGAAAGATGTGTCAGAGAGGATGAAGGCTGTCATTGAAAAGTCATGGTAGCAATGCTTCTCCTAAGACCAGCACCTGATTAAAAAAAAAAAAAAAAAAAAAAAAAAAAGGTAAACTGAGGCTTGAAGAATAAAATGATTTAACCACAATCTGACAGGAGATCAAGGACAAAGCAAAGAAGAGAAGCCATAGATTCCAGCTTCAAATCCCCTGCCCCTAAACTAAAGTAGGAAAATCCTGTGGGTAGGAGATATTGTGGTAGCTTAGTTTTCTTCACAACACGAAAGCCTACTTCTGCTCAACGGCTTAAAAGAATTCAAGATCACAGCAACAAAGATGAAAAGGTCAGACTAAACTCATTGCTCACACCGTGCACTAAAAATACACAATGCTATGACAAACCGCTTGATGAACACAAATGGCAGAAGATTGAATGCTGGCCTCCCCGGAGCTAGCATAAGTTTACAGACAGTTTTAAACACAAAATAATTCTGACTTTTCCAAACAAATATTTGAAAGTGCTAGCTGAGACTGAAGAAGCCCAAGATAGCATTCCTTCTTTTGCCTGACACTTTGGGCACGCTGGGAGGGGGATGCTGTTCTTGTTCATACCAACACGCCCCTGAGCTTTTTCCAAGAAAGATAGAGTTTGGCTTTGATGTCTGCAAGGGGAAGTTAGAGCTTGCAGCTGGCAGATACATTAATAGGATAGGCACCGGTGGACTAGAAGGGACCTCAAGTAGGTCATACCGCCCTATCTCTTCACAGCACACAAATGAAACAGATTTTCACCATGCAGTTAGTGCCCAAACACACAGGCTTAGCATTAGTTTCTAATGACCCTCTACATTAGGCAAAATCCAGTCATGTGAACTTTGCAAAAATAACGAAAATAGTACAGTCAAAGCCACACAGATAACTCATTTAAAAACATTAATAGTCATACAAAATATTTTGTTGTGAACATTTGCACTCCATTTCTACTTCACTCAGCCTAATGCAGCTTAAATCTATTTCTTCAATTATAAAAAAAATTATTTTAATTGGGTTAAGGGCTACTTTTTACATGTTTAAATAATAAAGCATTAATTCTTCAGGCCGCATTTTGAAGCCTAGTGATAGTCCCGGCCTCATCTGACCATCTCTGCAATCTAAAATAACTTTAAGGCTTCTCAAGGTTGCCTTTGACTGGAAGAGCTAGACAGAGGCTATTTCATAAAGCAAGGGTGAGTATTCACTACATGCTCCATCTATCCCCTACAATGACAGGGTTTGCGAGAAGACTACATAAGAATGGTATGGCTACAAATAAAAAATGAGTTTGCTTCCTAGGGAAGAAGTGACAGCCTTATGTGCCTAAGAATTTTAGAGCTGCAGAAAAACATTATTTGTCTTGCTGAACTCCTTCAGATGAAAATCTGGCAAGCATGAAAAAGGCCAAATGAACACAAGGACTCAGCCCAGAGGTACGGAAACTTTTGTATTTTATTCAGCACTTTAATTTGTAGCAAACTAAGCATTTTGTTTTCTGTCTTGAAGCAGAAGCTTGCATAGATCTGGGAATTTAGCTGGACGTAAACATTTCCTACAAGCACCACCAACAAACACAGCTCAACAGTTCTTAGATTGCTAAGTAAGCAGTGGGATTTCAGAGTCAGCGCTGCTTTTATAAAGCCTTTAACGTTCTCATAAAACCCCAATGTTTTTAGGACACAAGTTTTCATTCACTAGATATAACAACTTTACAGAAGACAAGCTTTGAGCCTGAAACAGCTTGACAATGTCCTTTCAGCTTGCTCATCAGATTAACTTTCTGTCGCACATCAGATGAACAGCTTCCTTGGTTTCTTGCCTAATCTAACACATAACCCAAGCAATTCCCATCTAAAGCACAATCAGAAGCAAAAACAAAAGCCACTGCAACATTCCATTTCTTTCTAAGAACACATTCAGTTTGAAATTTTCATTTCTGCCTCTAAGAAAAATTACCCTTTTAGCAAACCATTTACAGTGACGGGACTCTGATTTCAGATAGGATTAAAACAACATATTAGACATATACAAAACCAAGAGGCCCGAGTTGCTTACAGGACTAATAATGTGTTATGGGTCCTTTCACATCTAGGTCACTGGTTCAAATTCAGCTTTAGATGGTGATGAGTGAAAAGGAAGAATGAAGTAAGAACCCAGTCATGAATCTGGCCTCTATTCCTGCCTCTGCAACATATCCACTTTGTGCACTTGGGCTACTCACCCAACTACTCTTTCCTATAAATTCTACAGTTGTAAAACAGCAGTAAGCGTTATGAGTATTACACTAATCCTAGAAGACTAATTCATTAAGGATTCTTAAAGTACCCCAGATTGTCAGAAGATTAAAGTGTTGCTACTTTCAGGCTGTTCAATAGCTAACATGAAATAAATTAGGGGGGGACTTTCTCAGGACAGGTCAACACCTCAATGTTAAAAAAGAAAAACATCGGCCACACTTGTATCCTCTGTTAGCAAGATAAACATGGAAATCAAATGCTGAATGGGCCTGAAATTCCCCTTTTTCTCACAGGTAGACAGTACAGGTTAAAATGGAAGCAAATTGGAAATCCAGAAGCAGAAGGAAGACAGAAGGAGAAAACCACGTAGTGTGGAGAGGCCCTGTGCTCTCCCGTTATACAGCACAGCATGTAAATGCCACGTCAATGTTAGTCGACAGAAGAGGGCAGGAAGGGAGAGAATGAAAGAAGTTTACCACCCTGCATCCCTTGACAAAACTTGAATTACTGAAGGAGCCTACAATGCTGCTGTCTGTGCTGTTCTTGTTGTGGGGCTAAACAAAGATTTCCATTTTCAACAAGTGTCATGCTGGCACATTTTACCACTTCAGACACTTAATTAAAAACAAGGAATGAGAGAAACAATGGAAAACAACACGCACAGACAGCACCAACACATTTTAACTCATTATTGGGTTAAAAGGTGAAAAATAATGGTGATAGAGAGTTTAGACACAACATGATAGCTTCACTAATAAGCTGTAACTGCTGCAAAAGTCATGATACCATCTTTTACACGGTCCTGATTTCAGAATACTATTGAACTATGGCTCATACACAGCGCTGAGAATCTTTCATATTCACAGGAGAATTTAGAAAGATTACAACTATTCCATGCTTTTTCCAAAGACTCTTCAAATATTTTAACCACAAGAGCAAAATATGTTTTACTGAGAACATATTTTGTTATTACTTCCATTTCAGTCAGCTATGCCTTTCTTTTTGGAGGAAGTTCATACAGAGCAATTCCAAAGGACAAAGAAAAGCACAAGTACTGCGATCAAGAGCATTTAATTAGACAATGTGCAACAACTTTGTGCCAAGTAGGAAATCATGAAGATGAAAAGTTATGCCTTCCTCTTCCAAATCTACTTACCAAATTTCAACTCTTTCTGACAGAGGTAGGGAGCGATATTCAAGCAATGAACTTCAGAGATACTTTGGCAATGCATAGAGCCAACAAAAGCCACAAGCACAATTCCAAAATGATTTACTGGGCCATGTTTTGCCCAAGCTCCTACTGACAACTTCATGAAGTAAACACATCAATCAGTGTTAAGGCATTACACTGAAGTTGTTTGCTACTCTCTGATATTGTTTGATCTGTCTTCAACCTCTTTCTTTTGTCCATTGAAATGAGTTGCAGAAATGTCAGTTTTAACCACTGCTTAGTTGGGTTTGCTACCAAGCTGTTCTTGTGTTAAGTCAGACAAGCTTGAGAGGGCTGCTTGTGATCATCCAGACCAAAGATAAGCTGACCTGAACTACCAGAAAGTGCAACAAGGAGAGAAAGAGGGGAAAAACCCATATTATACAGAGTAGGAAGTCTACATGCAATTATTATGCCTTTGCAGGAAAGATGAGCATTGCTCTACGTCATACATTTGGGTCTATGCATGAACTGAACTCTAAATGCCAAACTTCTCTGCATCTGCCCCTGACTGAAGGTACTCTGACTATTCTTTGCAAGTGGGGAAAGCTGAAATTATTATATTACTTTGCAAACCTTGATTCAGAATTATCTTTTCTTTTTAGCACAAAAAGTCCTCACTATTACCCCAAAAATATGTGTTTGTTTCTAATTCTGTGCAGAAAAAAGAAACATGAAGATGTAAAGTAGTATGTGGCATCACACAAAACTCATATTACATTCACACAATATTGAGAGCTGCAGTTTGAGGCACTGTACTTGAAAACCAGACAAGCATAGTGCAAGGGACAAGACTGAGTATTTGCTCTCCTTCATTTGCAACAGGCTGTTTCTCTTTGGAATCGCTGATAATCATTAGATAAGATCAAATTTATAGCCTAGCCTGTGCCTTAACTCTAGCAGCAGCTTCAGAATACTGAGAAAATAATGCTCCAAATGCATGTGAATGGAAGTACAGTGCTGAGGAACATGTTATAGAACTGACACGGCTCAAAATTACATTCCCAGACCTTAGAAAGTGTCAGAACCTGTTAGTTAATACACTTACCTTCTTTTTATTTATAAATGGATTTTCAGAGAAACTGAAAAATAATTTTGTTCCCAGACTGATTTATGTTAGACTTGATAACTCAACTCTCACAGACCCCCGCATATCAACAGAAGACTACAATATGGATTTGTGTCAGTGTAGAGTTTCAGTTCTGACAGAAGGGATCTCTTACCTTCAGACAGGGACAAATCATCAGCTGGAGACACCAGGTCTGTCTGGATTGCAAGGCCATTGCTCAACGATGTGGTAATCTGATTCGTCAAGATAACCTGCAAACAGACAGGGAAAGGGGGAAGGGAAATGAATTTTTATAGCTACTAGAAGGTAGAGAGCAGCCCAGAGGAGGACTGGAACCCTCCAGGCACAGCCATGCAGTCAACCCTCTACTCTGACCTTCAGCAAATTCAACACTCAGAAAACTTTGAACTACCTGCAGAAACTGAAAGAGTTAATTGCAAGAAGTGCAGGTAAACGGATATTGTTAAAAAGATGAAATACTAAACAACAGTATTTTCATACGTACAGCTGCCTAAAATGAAACTACTGTTCCTTACAAAAAGCATCGTTTTCTTCATAGGCAAATAGAAAATCTATTTTTCCTAGTAATTTCCATACATCTTACACTTACGTCCTTTGGTTGAAACACAGGGAGAAAAGTGCTTGTAGGGATACATCCCCATTGATCTGAAGCACAAGAGTACTAAATTTCACAGGGTTATCTCTACAGAAGAGGATTTTCCAGTGTTTTTCAGGATCACAAGACTCTGATAAACAACAGACTATCATGCCCACACAGTGCTCTCCTCTGACAGCATGAGCAATGGTCGTGCTTGCAAGAGATGAACAGTTTCTGGCACCTTTGAACAAGTACTTTTTTCTAACAACAGAAAACATTAAGGCAAACACTGTGAACACCACAGAGAAGAGCATAGGTATAAACACAATTATCTCTGAATGCTTTGGATCTCTAAGCAGCTGCAGTTTCCACAATTACAACTGGTCTTCACCTCACAGACTGACAAAAAATTCAGAAATTACTTTTTTTTCTTTTTTTAAAGAAACAAAATGAACCTTCTACTCGCACTGAGAACAGACTCCACTCCAAACAAATTGTCTTTGAAATTAATGGCCTGTCTTCAGCTGTATTTGACCCAGGAGGAAGGGAGAAAGGAATCCCACACAGTGCTCTGTGGATGGAGTTTCATGATGCTACTGGAATAAATTAATAGCTTGCCATTGCTAAAAGGAAGAGGAATTTCTCTGCTCTTCCCTCCACTGCTCCTCCCTCCCTCCTGCTTTCTAACACTTTCAATAGTATGATATGACACGTTCTCCATTTTCTTTTTCTATTTCAAGATCCCACAGAAGCTCTATCAGATCACAGAGTCGTAACCGCAGTGGTGGTGCTGCAGGCATTGCGTCGTCTTCAGGCAGCATGACGTGAGCTACCAACAATGCGATGGAGCCTGCGACCTTTACCAAGACCACAACTCTTCCTCCCTGCTCACGTCAGCCCACCCATCTCTGTGCTTGTAAACAGGCACGGTGGTGCCTGAGAGCTTTTTGCACTGTATCAACAGGACTAAATTGAGAAGTTTGTAAGTCAAACCTTCATGTACTCAACAGACATTCAAGACGTTTAGAGCCCCATAGTCACGTCTCTCGTGCTGTTCTGCTACTGACTACAAGCTCTGGACAAAGCTCAGCTGGCTACCACCACCCTGCCCAGCTTAACCATAGGTTGCACCTTTGGGGACTGGGCATTTATTGCCACTGCAGCGAACACAGACATGGTAGGTAACAGCCTTGTTTGGACTTACACCTAGGCTAAGGTTCCTAAGCTACAACTTGCATTACTGCCAACAGCAAACACACAAGAAACGCATCACCCCCCTCTGCTGTTTGCCCCAGTGCTGTTGCATGCACCTATAAGCACCCAAAAGCAGATGGGAAAGGGCCTGGCACACACAGCCCCTTGCAGCCACTGCTGGCTGTCCTGTTCATCAGATCACAAGGTAAGACTCAATTTAATTACAAAGAAGAATAAAGTCACTTTTTCCTTTCTTCTTGCCAGGGTACTTCTCTTCCATTCTAGTGAGCGAGTCCATCCTTGTGATAGGATGAACACCAAAACTGGTTCAAGGCAAATGAAAGCCCGCCTGGACGATGTCCTGTGTAACATGCTCTAGGTAAACCTGCTTTAGCAGGAGGGTTGGACTAGATGATCTCCCAAGGTCCCTTCTAACCCTTGCCATTCTGTGATTCTGTGAAAGGACTGGGCAGCCAAGAGTCAGGAGGGACAAGGAACAGGATGCGAGAACTTTCCTTCTTAACACTGTTTTCACTTCTTTTTCACTGTGTCATAAAACTGACACCCTCCCTTGTCTATCGAGGCTCTTCTGGCAACCAGGCATAAGACACACCAACAATACGGCACAACACTGTAGCTTTTCCTCAATCCGGTACTAGAAAATGTGCTGAAACAGAACGCAGTAATAAACTTATATGTGCACATGCACTGGTGGGGTATGAAGTTTTCATTGGCACGCTTTTTCAATGATCACATTATTCACAAGTGTCAAACGCTCTGTAAGCAACGCAGTCATCCCAGACCTGTGCCAAGATAATCTTTGTGCTGTGCCATCATGTATTTTATTATTTATACACCACATTTTAAAAAGCTACCATGCTTAAGAATCTTTTTTTAAATGAAAAAAGACCTAAGCACACCATGTTTCATATTGCTCTCCTTCAAAGGAAAGTAACTTTAGAGGCTTCAAAAATCAGGAGAAAAATTAACAACAAGAATAATGCAACTGCATTTTTTTCTACCTTTCAGCTTTTTTGGCCTCCTCTTTAACCAGGAACTCTGCAGCACTGTTCGCTATAGGAGTGTAAATCTTCTTCACCCTTTACGTTTAACTCAAGCTGCGTCTCTGAAATTAGATTTCAATTTCTGATGTGTCCTTCAGTAACTATTCAATACTAACAATATACTAGACGCCCTGTTATACTGTTTAAAAAGTCAGTTTAAAAATGCAGAGTCCTACCCAAGTAAATATTCCTCCCTGGCTCGCTCTGAGGATGGGAATTAAGTATATTCTTAGTTCCATGACTTCACTGATAGTTAAACATTTGCTTAAATACATGTTTAAATACTATCTTGAATAAGCACACTTCCTCTGAGACGAAGCCATATGCATGTACAGAATGCTTATTTTGGAATTAACTGAAAATTATTCTTCATTTCTGCAAGCCTGCAGAGCCAATGCAGAGATTCGGTTCTCCCATAAGTACAAGCCAAGAGGCCTTTAGCTAAGCACTAAATTTGACATCCAATTCAATTCCCTGCCACACCTCTACAGCTTTGCTTACTGCAAAATTCTTCCATTAGGTATAGGTACTCCTATTATCAAACCACCAATATTCGTCTTTGTGCACCTACCACAATATAGCTTGAACCTCGCTCTGCAGGTGTGCAGGGTGTTCCAAACTCTCACTGGCTCAAACAAGCTACGGGTTGCTAAGTAGAGAAAAAAAGCTGTCCCTAGCTGCGCTCCAGTTCTGAAGAAAAAAAGTTAAGGCACTCAGATTTAGGGATCTCCTCTGAGTACATGCATCTGTCTTCAAAACTTCAATCACATGCCCTTACTGGGAAGTGCTAAGATTTCTTTTATTTTTCCCCAGAGTAAAATGTTCGTGACAAGTACTTTGGCAGTGAATAGTGCCATTCAAACAAGATCCTATGTTTTCAGCAGTCCCCAATCTGATAGACATTCAACCTGAAGCCCTAAATGTTGATACCAGTCAACTCCAGTGTATCATCTAATGTATTAACTTCTCCACAAAGTCTCTTTCACCACCCCAAAAGCTGTGAATGCTCCATTCTGCTAACCTCTGAAATAGTTGCATGTATTCAGAGTCGCAAATAGGTGTCTGAGGGAACAGTTAAACCTGAGTGTGATTTGGAGAGAAGATAGAGGTAGACAAAGGAGGTATGGAGTGAAACAGCTGGGTGACTTTCTGATGAGTAATCACATTTGTGCACGGACAGAATCAGCTGAGTCTCACACACTGACTCATACATGTGTGCGCAGAATATAATGCTAGTTCTGATCTTAATGATCCCATATGTTACAAATCACCAACATTACGAAGAAGAAGGTTAGAGTATCTCCCTTTGGTCTGCTAGGTGTCACACTTGAAAGAAACCACCTCTCACTGCTAAACAGCGCCTGGAAACAGGCTGGGGTCACAAGTCCAAGCAGAATTATTAGAAAGAGTGCCTTGCACTGCATTAGCAATAGCACTTCCTTAACTTTTCATTGGAGATTTGCCATTAAAGTACAGATTAGATTTACCCAGTTTGGTGCAGGAGACCTGCCAAGTCCTCAGTCTAAGTAGGTAAGTAAAAGTTGCCTCTGTTGTGGTTCCTTTTGTCAGATACTGGACGTCATCACCAGCCAAGCATAGCTTTCACTTACGAGGTTCAGTGCCAATCATGAGTGCGTCATCTTCCAGCAGAACCCTCAACAGTGAGAATGTTGCTATGTGATGTTTTAATGTTATCATATTAAAATACCTAGAATTTTAAAATACATTGTATTTTATAAAATACCCAGTATTTTAAGAGGAGCTCCTATTTCCACCATCAACTAATGGAACAAAATATTTTCGTTACCAGAGGTACTTTCATTACCACTAAGGCACTAAGAGTCACATAAAACATTACACCTCCCCACACACAGCTGTGTCCTCACATGCACAACAGGTAAGGAGGTTGCGTTATTGCTTTCTGTTTCTGACTGTAGAGTGTAGGGCTTATTCAGCCAGTGACCGTGCATGAATGGAAAATATCATCCGCTGCTAAAAGAGGAGGAAAAAAAAAGACAAAAAGGTCAGCTAGGCAGCTCAGTAACACTGGAAACTTGTCCCACACGGTCTCCTATGGAGTTCAGTGAACCGTTGCCTTTAACTGTTCAGCCTATTCACTTGCAAGTGGTTAAGCTAGCTATTTAATGAGTGAAAATTTACAGCCCTCAGCCTTCCAATTCCGACAGAATTACAAACACTGTAGAAATTCACTCAGATTCAAATTTCAAAATCATTTCTGGGAAAAAGTCCACTACTTAAAATACCACACAATTGACTGACCACACAATTTCCCAATCTTATGAAGATATTTACTTCAGCATAGCAACCTTAGATTGTAAAATAACCCCTTCTAACCATTACAAGTGTTACAAACAGCAAGAATTATTTTTTCTTA